AAAGTGCATGATGTTTCGAATATTTCGGGCCTACAGGACAAATACACAATAATAACAGGCGACCTAAGTGAGTTGCTTGGAGCACATTCAAGCCTCCCTCCTGAGTATGACTCTGAGCCGCTGAGGAAGGTGTGCACCGAAGAATCCGAAAACATTTCGGAGACTTCTTAGTTACTCCTGTAGCTGTTGGTTTTTGTACAATGGGATATTAGGGGGCCCATTTGTGTTCCTTGCAACTACAGCACGCAGCTGTTAATCGATAGGAAAATGTAGTTAATAAATTCTCCGGTTGCCAAGCTTAACACAACATATCGCTTGCGAAATTAGGAATAAATCAATAGAATCGTCTTCGAAAACTTACCTGTTTTAGTTGACCCGGCTTCTTGTCGTCTACACATAATGTAACGAGCATTCGTGGTTGCATAGCAAGCACGAGGGTGTACAGCAAGTAATGCTGTCGGTTGTTTAACACCTAAAGGAATCAAATTAGGAAGTTTAAATAACAATTCAAAAAAGAAAGAAATCAAGTTATCTCACAGAGTTATTAGCATCCAAGAATGCAAAGCAGATCGTAAGAAGTGCTGCAATGGCGCTCGGGCACAGCAATTGCCGGTCAGAATGCCATGGATTTAACGTCATTGTACCTTTCCCAAGATGCGTAAGACCTTGTGAAAGTCGTACCAACATTAAAGAAACCTGAAACATTAGCGTAATAAAGCAGTTGAGTCATTTCTTCAGAAGTATCACTAACTGAGTATTACTTTTACCTGATCTTTGTGGTGGTAGCTGGCCAGCGATCGAAGCATTGCTACTAGACGAGCATTATTCGTACCAGCACCGACCTCAAAAGATAGCATTTAACATTAACTGAGCTGAACAAGAGAGCATTTAAACATTAACTGAGCTGAACAAGAGAAGCATTTAACATTAACTGAGCTGAACAAGAGGCACGTAAAAGAGGCGCCAAAAAATTTTATTGCAAAAAACTCAAAAGATGCAAAAGAATCCAAAAGTGTAAGAACTTTTGGATTCTTTTGAGTTTTTTTGCAATGAAATTTTTCGGGCGGCCTGCTTTTACGTGTTTCATGTTCAGATTACAATGAGGCTCCTAGACAGCATCATACTAAGATTAACTGCGCTGCTCAGCTTGGAGGGGGCATTCTGCATACTCGCTACTTCCTTTCATTGGTTAATGTTAGCTAACAGGTCCCACTTTGATCAGACCTGTAGAGTACTGCAGGCAGTGAGGCAAAAGCGCTCGAGCGAGCCACTTCGGTCACAGGAATTTACAGGCCTTCACAAGATGGCCTGTACAAGCTTAGCTGAGTAGCACATGGCGTCCCCACCAAACCGAACAGCGCCCATCAACGATTGGATTGCGGACCCATATTGGACTAACACCTTTACTTGATTCATTAATCAGTAGTTAGAAAGTCACTCACCAATCCCATTGCAAAAATAGCATTATGTGCAGTGTCGGAATCAGCGTCATGCGAGAACTTGCTCAATGTTTCCAAAATATTCAGTTGAGGATTTGAAACTGAGATCAATGCCAAAGCTAATGGGACTGCCCTTCGTATGACTGGCTCACCGTACCGAATAAGATGACCAAACATTCGCAATGCCATCTGCAAAGGTAAATTAAATATTACACGCATCACCAACCTTTATATAGGATGATCTTACAAACCAACCCACATGAAGATCTAACAATCCGACCCACCTGAGATCCAACCTCTTCACCCATCGCGATCAGTCCGATACCAATAACAGCAACTGCTTGCTGAGATGACAAATCGGGCTTCGCATCTTTGTCTTTCTCTGCTGTTTTTGTGTCCTTCTTTGACTTATCATCCTTCTAGAAATATTGTCGTAAAGATGAGCTTAGATGAATTCCTTTCACATAACTTTTTCGTAGATTCAAAGACACACTATGTGATCACCTTACGGATGGATAGTCCTGTATGAGGCGGACAATCCTGCAGCCGCTGATGTGCGCAACTTTAGTAACTCGCAAACTCGCACGACGGGAAAGCTGGAGGCATGTGAGTGGCATTTGCTTTGTATACCTCCGCCCTTAATTTGATACGCCATACGATATTCGCTGCTCCCCAGCGCCCTCTCACAAAGATAGTGCTCACGTCGTATGAGCATGCCAAATGTTGAGGATCCAGGGAGGATCGTATTTGTTGTCCTTCAGGGAAGGGAGTCGCATCCGTTTTCGACGCAAATGTTTCGACTGTTGACTTTTCTCGGGTCTTCCCGTTCCACGTGCGCTCAATCCCCCTCCCTCTCGCTCGTTCATTTTTAGAGGAAGAGGAGAGGAACTCCTCGGGGAAAAAACTTCGGAAAAGCGGCAGAATGTTAGGAAGATTAGAGAGATAGTAAGGGGGATGGAAACCGGGACAATAGAGGATTTCACCAGAGCAGGATCTTCTAAGGATGTCAGCAC